TGCTGGGGACACTATTAGCACTAGTTGGAGGATGCTATTTCGGCATCAGTGTTGCATGGTGGTTAGCTGTTAAGTCTCAGTGCATGCATATGGCTAAGCAGCATTTATTCAGAATTTAAAAGACTACTATCTTTTTGTGCCCTATATTTAGTCTCCTCCAGTATAAACTAGCATCAAGAAGTGAAGGAGAAGGGGAAAAGAGGGACTACTCTTACTCCAGCATCAATTGCTTCCCACTCCCTGCCATAATAGCAGTGTTTACAAGTGTGAGGCCATGAAATCAGAATAACAGCATAGGACCACAAGGGAAACTGCCCCAGAGGCTCTGGACAAACACGGCTACCGCACCTTGCATGAAAGGTTACACAGCTGCAGGCAGCAGGCCCTCAGGATTACTGATGATAAGGCATCTCGGGCATTGTGTAACAAAACAAATGAACAAGGCACGAAGGACAAGTTACTATTAATGCGCTAGTCCTTCCATCTCAGCAGCAGAGTTTCACCGAATATGCAAATTCTATAAAGCAGATAAGATGTAGTTTCTGACTAAACATTTCCTGGAATTATTTTGCTTATGAATAACACAGAGATCACGAAGCTTTTAACTGTGCCAATGCTAAACTAATTTTCTTAATTCCCAAACTAACATTCAGTTAACATTTGGAAGATTATTTCCCCTCATCTCATGGGCGTGTGATACACCAATGGGTGACACCACCTCCATCTCCCACCATACTGATTCCAAAAAACCAGCATCACCAACTATCACCATGGTATTAAACTTCTCGGACAAGCATTCATATAAGGCCTTTCGGGGACCACATGTCTCTCCCTTTATGAGCTCCTCCATGCCCAAGGGCATCGGGTATTACCAAAAGGCAGAAGTACAGTAGAAAAAGGCCAGACTGCAGAGATTAGAGCTCAAGACTAGCATGCGTATTTTGGGATACCCTAAATAAAAAAAACTATATACTATTAAGTGTTAACGCTATCATCTTCTCTGATGTCTGATACACATATGGTGCATATTGATAGATGGCTGAAATCACAAACAGGTAAAGCACAGGTACAAACACAGGCAAACACACAAAGAGCCTTAAAGCCTAGCTGGAAAGAAGGAAAATGTCCTTTCTTAAAATATTCTCTTTTCTTCCAGCATTGCACTAAAACACACTAGACATGCTGCTCAAATGGGATTTGAACCTTACTGACCTCCAGTTTCCTTCGAGCCTCCTCCTGTTCTTGTTTCTCCCTGGCCATTCTTTGTGCTCTCTCAGCTTCTGCCTTCCTTCGGTCTTCCTGCTCTTTTTCCTTGGCTAGGTTTTCAAAGTTAGCTCGGATGCTGCTTGTTTTATTAGCAACTGTAACATTTAAAAAAATGGAAGTCAAACAGTTGTTTAAGGTTCTGCATAAAGGTAGCCTAGAATGAGGTTTTGGTACAAATTTCTGCTATGATTGAATATGTTTCTGCTTTTTTGCTCTCTGAGCTCACAGCCCATTTAGGAAAGTCCTTCTATCCCTCTTTCTCCCTCTCCCCTTCCAAGTCCAAACCTCTTGTGCACCACATTTCTCCTACATATAAATCTCTGCAACACTTCTCCCTCCTCTCCTTCATGGTACAGTCTCCACTACTCTGCTCCCCTAACTCAGTCTGTTCTCCACTCTGATGCTTTTTATTCCTCCTTCCTCAACTCTGATGACCCTCAAGGAAAAAAAAACCCAAAACCAACAAACCAAAACAACCTCTAAAGGGAGGAGGGAGAGAGTAGTTGAGGTTGCTAGAGACCTGCAAGTACAGCAGTTCCCTCCTGATGATTCTTACTCAGCACTACTACATCAGCAGTAATATCCTGGGCTTTTGAACATTAGCACCCCCAAAGAAAGGATTTGGGGCCAATGCCTTACCAGCTTCTATCGGCTTGGTCTTCTGATAAGTTGATGCTGGTTTCTCAATATCTTCAAAAGTTGCTGCATTCTATCAGTAAGGAGAAGAGTACATTTAAAAAAACACAGATTCATGAAGACATTCAGGCAGCTTCGATCTGTGACGTTTTATTGTCATATTGCCCCTATGGCTTTTTTCAGAACACCGAAACAAAATCAGGAAGAATCAAAACTTGACAAAGGGAAAAAACCTTTCTGTAAGTCAAACTACATAAGAATTAATCTTCAGGGATAGGCTTAAACACACTAAAATCCTATTAATTAAAAAAAACTAGTTTATAAACAGATGACTCATCAGAACTACAAATGAGGCAGTGCCCTAGACACCTATTGTGCAACTGTTACTGTTCTAATCCACACTGTGCAAGATTTCTACAAAGGTAAAAGCATCCAGTTCCTTTAAAGAAGCAGATATTGTTAAAACAGAGGGAGCATTTTGAGAACAGTATTCAAAATATGAGGGTTTTTTTTTTAAATAAATGGTCTTGAGTCCTGAAGCCACAAGTAAAAAAATCCCACAGACTTTCAAACTCCTCTACTTTCTCACTTTTAAATGTCCTACATAAAGCTGAAAGTAAATTTATTCAGTAGATAAATCTCAGTGAGGACTTTTTCATCTTCTAGCTTTTTTTAATTTAAAAATGGAGAGGTAGAAAGGGGGTATCAGCTGCCCTATCTTTCACCGTTATAGAATACTAAAACAAATTCTCCTAAAGAGAAGGTCCCTGATAATCAAAGTGGGCAAGGTTGGAAGGTATCACACACCTATTTTAAGCAGTCCACTAAAAGCATATCCTCAAGATACGAGGCATTAGCTAGTTGTTAGAAGACATGACTAAAATTGTGGACTTAATGGATTTTCTCATTCTTTTGTATAAATTTTGCTATTCTTTCATCCCCATGCTGCAGTTTTCCCTACTTAAATATGTATTCTACACATATGCACACACATACACATGTGTATAAACCGGCACCAGCCCCGTGTGTATAAACTTGGTTTCTAAAGATTCAGAAAAGCACAGAACTTTGTTAGACTGGAGAAGTACCCAGAAAAGAGTTGAACACTACAGACCTAACCAGACTATTTTGTATCCCTGCAGACTATTTAAGTCACGGCTCTTTCAAGCAACTTACCTTATCCATCCGATCTTTCTGTACACCATACTTCCCACCAAATCCTTTTGAATAATCTAAAAGCAGGATAAAAGGTTAGAGTAGGGAGTCTGTTGTCCCTCTCATCTTTCTGCCAAATGCAAATAGCCATTTCAAATGCAAATAGCCATTTCAGCCGCATGCAGAGATACAGTGACAGCCGCCAAAGAAAATGCAACTTGGTTTTTGATGCAGAAAGGATACATAACTGCAAGAGCCTTCAGGTACACCAGCAGATGACAGATTGTGGGCCACATGCATTCTTTGAGTAAACATTAAGCTGAGGACTGATAAGGTATCAAGCAAGGAGTAAGGGATGAGCCCTTCTAATGCATCACTTCTGTAACACAGCCTTTCACAGCACCAATTCTTAGCCCTCTGCAGTAATCATATAACCTAAGCCATTTTGCTTTGCTCAAAGGAGTGATATCCAGTCTTCGGTGACCACAGAGGTGTTTTTTTTCTCTTTAACTTGGTAAATTCTATGAATGGCAGGAAAATATAACAAATTTCTCGTTCCGGTGAATTTGGTTGTGATACTCAGCTGATGAACATTAATGTCATTGGTAATAAATCCTGCTCTCTATATGGAAAGGGGCACTTCCACAAGACAGCACGAGCCTGCAACAACTCACCACCACAGAAATGGGGTGGCCGTGCTATTCTGTACCACCCCTGAGCTGCACACTCTTACTCTCACCTGATGCTGACTCCAGCTCTTGTTATGCTCCATAATGCCACTCACTAGTGGCATTAACAAGAAAAACAACAAACAAACCCTAAAAAGAGTAGCTTTCCGCTCTTTCTAGTGAGTTGTACTCAGAGAAATGTCTGACAAGCACCAGAGCCAGCGCAAGAAAAGCAGCAAGAGTGTGTGGCTGGGAAAACACCTCATTCTGGTGGCAGTGAACTGTAGGAACATGCCCTTAAGACTCTGTAGATGGACAGGCTTCCCTATACGTCCCTGGAATACAATTGCCCCAGAACCACTTGGGTCCCCCTAGCCTAGTGTTTGTACTTGGGCTCTGCTAAGGCACATCTGACGCTCTAAAAGTTTTAATTTGTGTCATGGTAGCACAGAAAAATATTGACTATCAGAATGAACAACCTCATTTTCTTCAGCTTTGTATGTATTTTCAGCCAGAATAAATATACTACACTTACATTTTCCTGATCCAGACTTCTCACTTTAAGATAACGGAAAACCAGGAATTCATGGTTTGTACCCCAACTATTTCACAACGAATAAAGAGAGCATTATAACAGTATTTGCTCACCCAAGAACCACAAACATTCCCTACTTCTTGTTTTAAAGACTACAATAATTTTAAAATGATCTTGCCATAACCCATTGGTTGTTAATGGTTACATGCATGGTCCTTATCTGAGTATTTTTCCACCAATCTGTCCAGGCAAAACTTCACATTTAGACTCTAAAACTGGTAAGCACGACGTCATTAACATCATACTAATAATACTAGACATATTAATGCCATTATTATCACACTGTATGTATAGCTATTAACTAAATGCATGATGTTGTAGAGCTGTTAACTAAACATTGGATACCTCTTTCCTGAATACAGGCTTGCTTTATGTAACATTTTAAGAATAAAATGGAAGAACATTGCTAGATCATGTAGGAATAGAAGCGCAAGAAAGTGTCTGCACATTACTAGCATTGATCTACTCAGACAACTATTTAAGACTGTGTGAGAAGTGGCTGCACTGGTAAGAAAGTAACAAGTGAAAACGGTGCCTTGTTGAGATTCATGCTTGGCTAGTTTCTCCTTGTAATCAAACCCCACAGCAGATGGGTCCTGCCTTTCTGTCTGTACACCAAATTTCCCTCCGAAACCACTCTTATAGTCTGAAAAAGCCACATGTGATAAATTAAAATGAAGGGAGGAAAATAAAGAAGTTTAGTCAGAGACACTGAAAATAATTTTTGCATTATTTATCAATTACCAGTAATTTTGGATGGTGAAAAAAAATCTCAATACATTTTTGTAAGAGTAAATTCAAAAGAAGTTTCCATTTGAGATTAAGAAGAGGTCAACATGATTTATCAGACATAAGAACACCATTCTGAAGTCACAGAAAAAAGCACTTCTCAACATTTTTCATACATACTGCATAATGCACTTGCGTTTGATCAACATTATGAACACAAACACACACATAGTATATTCACCAAAACGACACAACATACAAAAGGATACAAGAGAATAAAATGAGCTTCTTTCACCGGTGTGGTTAACATTTGTACACTACAGCTCTGACTTTTAAAGAGCTGTTGAGATAGGGTCCACAGAGACTATCCTTCAGTCTTACACAGCATCCTTTGAAGGAAGAAGGAATATTCC